CGACGGGCTGGCGGTGATCGTCCAGGCGGCGACCGGGCGGGCCGGCGGCGGCTTTGGCCCGGTGCTGGGTGCCGCCCGGCTGACGCTCAGGTAGGCGCCGGGCGGCCCGGGGGCCTCAGGCCTCGCCGCGTGCCTCGGCCGCGCGCGCCGTCTCGGCGATCACCCGCATCAGCTCCTTGCGGTCGACGTCCAGCAACTGAGTGTCGATGTCCAGGCGCCGCCCGTCGTCCAGGGTGACGCGGATGCCCCGCACGATGGAGGCGCGCTTGATCTCCGCGCCGGCGATGCGGCTCCAGGGGATCAGCCCGTCCGGCTTGCGGCGGTCGAGCAGTCCCTCCGGCCCGACCTCGACCACCGGCCCGGCGCGGCGCAGGTCGCGGGCCAGGAAGACCGCCATCGCCAGGCAGAGGAACATCAGCACGCCGCCGACCAGCCGGTCGCCGGGCCGTCCCTCGCCGACCAGCAGGCTCCAGCTTCCGAAGCCGACGAAGGAGAGCAGCAGCAGCACGGCGAAAGCGACCTTGCGCTTGTCGATGCGATAGGTGCTGACCGCCGCGCGGCGGCGTTTCGGAATCTGGCTCACGGGTCCCCTCTCGCGCTGGTGACGGATCGCGATCTTTCTCGTCGCCGCCGACACGCCCAGGTTATAGGAGCGCCGCACGCCGATCACGCCCGCCGATCGCGGGGCCGCCCGGGGGCGTTATGCGGACGCGTTATACGGGCGGCAGAGCCGAGGGAGAAGCCATGAGCGAGCAGAGCGCCTACACCCGTCTCGAGACCCGCTTCGCGCGCCTGGGCGCGCTGCACGAGGCCATGGCCGTGCTGCACTGGGACAGCGCGGCGATGATGCCGTCCGGCGGGGCCGACGCGCGCGGCGAGCAGCTCGCCCAGCTCAGCCTGATGGCGCACGAGCTGGTGAGCGACCCGGCGGTGGCCGACTGGCTGGCCGCGGCGGAGGGCGAGGCCGAGGCGCTCGACGACTGGCGCCGGGCCAACCTGCGCGAGATGCGCCGGGCCCACAGCCATGCCACCGCCCTCTCGCCGCGCCTGGTCGAGGCGCTGCGCCGGGCCTGCCATGCCTGCGAGGGGATCTGGCGCGAGGCGCGGCCGGACAACGACTTCGCGCGGGTCAAGCCGGCCCTGGCGGAGGTGCTGGCGCTGACCCGCGAGGCCGGACAGGCCAAGGCCGAGGCGCTGGGCAAGTCGCTCTACGACGCGCTGCTCGACCAGTACGAGCCGGACGGCTCCTCGGCCGCCATCGGGCGTCTGTTCGACGAACTGGCCGAGCGCCTGCCGGTGCTGCTGAGCGACGTGCTGGAGCGCCAGGCGCGCGCGCCGGCGCCGGTGCTGCCGGCCGGTCCCTTCCCGGCGGCGCAGCAGGCCGAGCTGGCGCGCCAGCTCATGCAGGCGGTGGGTTTCGACTTCCGCCACGGCCGGCTCGACACCTCGGCGCATCCCTTCACCGGCGGCGTGCCCGACGACGTGCGCCTGACCACCCGCTGGGACGAGGCGGACTTCATGACCGGGCTGCTCGGCGTGCTGCATGAGACCGGCCACGCGCTCTACGAGCGCGGCCTGCCGCGCGCCTGGCACCGTCAGCCGGTCGGCGAGGCGCGCGGCATGGCGATCCACGAGAGCCAGTCGCTGCTGATCGAGATGCAGGCCTGCCGCTCGCGCGCCTTCGTCGACTACCTGGCGCCGCTGGCCCGCACGGCCTTCGCCGGCTCCGGCCCGGAGTGGGAGGCCGACAACCTCTACCGCCTCTACACCCGCGTGCAGCCGGGCTTCATCCGGGTGGACGCCGACGAGGTGACCTACCCGGCCCACGTGATCCTGCGCTTCCGCCTGGAGAAGGCGCTGCTGGAGGAGCGCATGACGCTCGGCGACCTGCCGGGCGCCTGGGCCGACCAGCTCCAGGCCCTGCTCGGCATCACGCCGCCGGACGACCGCCGCGGCTGCCTGCAGGACATCCACTGGTACGACGGCGCCTGGGGCTACTTCCCGACCTACACCCTGGGGGCGATGGCGGCCGCGCAGCTCTTCGACGCGGCCTGTCGGGCGCATCCGGAGATTCCCGCGCAGCTCGGGCGCGGCGACTTCGCCACGCTGCTCGCCTGGCTGCGCCGCCACGTGCACGGACAGGCCGCGCGCTACTCCACTGAGGAGCTGCTGGTGCGCGCCACCGGCCGGGCGCTCGATCCCGAGATCTTCGAGGCGCACCTGCGCCGGCGCTACCTGGGGGCGGACGAGAGCAGGTTGTGATCGTTTGGGCCCACAGCGTGGGCCCGCCGATCACAAGAAACCTGCTCTACACCATAGGGGTAGAGTGATTTGCGACCGCCGGACGCGCTGACGCGCGTCTGAACGGTCGCAAATCGCTCTAGGTGTGGAGCCTCAACA